AAGGAAGGAAGGAAGGAAGGAAGGAAGGAAGGAAGGAAGGAAGGAAGCTATAGTAAGGAGTCCTGTTTTCCTTACGATTTGCATTCCCATTTGTTTCATGTCTGGATATTGATGAGTTTTGTCCTTTTTGACAGTTTCAAGAGGTCCCAAACGGTAGCTTGGTCCTTCTGATAAAGATCGATGGAGACATAGGAACAGGTACAGATTCATGCCAAAGAACAAAAAAAAACCCACTGCAAAAGTCATCCGTCCCGCAGACATTATTGAGATTGCAAAGACCCTTTTTGATCATCTATAGGGAGAATGTCCCCTGAATTCCAGTCTGCTTTATCAATGGGGACATTTTCCTTTGTCCCAAAGGGGCTTTTTTTTTTCAAGAGGCAATTGGACTTTCTTCTTTTTTTAAAAGAGGTTTCACTTCTCATCCAAGAAGCTTCTGTACCTCTGATTGGATGATGGGGAAGGGAAGTCAGAGCTGAGGAAGCTTCTTGGATGAGAAGCGAAATGTCTTTTTAAAAAAAACAGAAAGTCCAGCGACCTCTTGAAAAAAAAAAAAAAAGCACCTTTGGGACAACTATGACCTGGAGGACTGAGAATCTCCATAGATATCTTCCTTTGTCCATTCATTCAAACCTCTGCCTTACATCTCTGGACACTGACCGGGAAGGGAGTCCACGTTTAAGTGGAATAGAAATACAGGTAGTCCTTGATTTACGACCACAACTGAGCCAAAAATTTACGTTGCTAAATAAGAAATTTTGTTAAGTGAGTTCTGCCTCATGTTACAACCTTTCTTGACACACTTGTCAATGAATTACTTCAGTTGTTAAGTTAGTAACCCGGTCGTTAAGTGAATCTGGCTTCCCTATTGACTTTGGATCGCAAAAGGCCCAGGACACTGCAACCGTCATAAATGCGACTCAGTTTTCAAGCATGCGAACGTAAATCATGTGGGGAATGCTGCAATGGCCATAAGTGTGAAAAACGGTCGTAAGTCACTTTTTTGTCCCTGTGCCGTTGTAACTTGGCTCACTAAAGGAGCTGTTGT